TCTAATGTCAAATAAATTGTTATTGATATTTCATTTTAATGATCTCTATACCCTTGCTAAATATGCCAAAATCGAATCCTCGCTAAAATTTCTGCTTATACGGTAACATGGCCTTGTAGAGATTTCTGCATGCATGAATTGTACAAAATTTGATATTTTGATTTTCTTGAAAAGAATTTTATATGTACTTTTTATCCAGTCCCCATGTAAAAACCTTGATCCACCTGTTGTGGCCCTATCCTTTTCCATGGGGCCATGATTTGAATGAACTAATCTGCACTACCTGAGGATGATTGCCCATGTCAAAGTGGAAGGCAGTTTGTTGGCAGTTATTAAGCCTTCCCAGTTTTATTTTATAAGCAGTTTATTAGCAGTTCCTTAACCTTCCTTAGCCTTCCATGTCCCTCAGACAAGTTGATAATTATTCATGAAAATAGGCAGTTCAAGGCAGTTTTTCTTAGCCTTCCCAGTTTTCAACCAGTTTTGAAGCAGTTAATTTTAGCGAAATATTTAAATGAGTTTTAAAAAACTGCTTGAAACTGCAAATAACTGCTTTAGAACTGTTAATCCATTTCCATTTATGGTTATGTCTAATGAATATTCAAAGCAATACGATGACGCTAAAACTGGTAACACAAACGTACAATTTTAAATTGAAACCCTGCCGAGATTTGGCTGAAATATTGCAGACTCACCGTAATAATATTAATCCATGAAATAATTAAAACAACAGAATTGTAAGTTAATTATATATTTATCATACTGTAGTTTATAACACATTATTTCACATTAAGATATCAAATTGAATGCATGTTAAAAGAATGGTACCTACTTCAGCCATTTTCCTTTATATATTATCAAAAATGCATTGATTATGGAACTTTTGCTAGCAAAAATTAAACACTGCAATTTTGTCTTTTTAGAAATATATTTTCTTAGGAAAAATATTTAAAAATGTACTGTTTAATACCTACATCTGTTATAATCTGTGTAACTTGATACAATATGTGCATCTTATATATTATTCACATTCACAACCATGCATGCAATTATACTCACTGACGTAAGAATATATCCCAGGGCATATATAATGTTTGACAAGACTCACATAATTCAAACATATACAAGCTGATAAACTTGTGAAAAAATCCAAATTGTCAGGTTTTTCAATCTGGTTACCACAAAAGTATAATATGTTGGCACTGTTTCTGTAATTAATTCAACTGTTTATAGATCAAGCTGTTTTTCTTGAAAGAGACACAAAAACAGGGGGATCCAAGATAATTATAGTCTCACTTCTCTTCTGAAACTGTAAATGAAAAAAAATTAAATTATGTGAAATGGATCATATATATATATATATATATATATATATATATATATATATATATATATATATATATATATATATATATATATATATATATATATATATATAATTTTAATACAAACAGAGGCATATATTTTAAATCATGCAATTCATCTCCTTATTCAAGGTGACATATTAATAAATATATTGTACCTACCAGTGGTTAAATGTCTGCATCATAATTTCTATCAACCTAGCTAAATCTTTGTGGCTATAGCTGCAGGCTTCTTGAGTACTTCATGTTGCTTTCCTTCTGACTCCAACAATACAACATGGCAGCTGAAGTTGAATTTTGGCGGTCAGACTTGTATGCATGGTTCCTGTTGTGTATATTTACTGATCACTGAGCCCAACTTTGAAATTAATCTCAATCCCAATCAAAAAACTAAAGAAACTGCTAATTACTGCTTACAAAACTGCTTAGGAAAACTGTCTTCTCCCCAAGCATTGGCAGCTGTGATATAACTGCTAGGGAAAATGATAACTGCTTAAAAACTGCTTAGGAAAACTGTTTACTCCTAAAGCTCTGGCAGTTATAAAAGAGCAGTAAAAGCCCAACTGTCTGAAACTGTTAGAAAACTGCTTGAAATCTGTAAAACTGCTAAAGAACTGCTTCTTAACTGCCTATATAGGCAGTTCACTTTTCCATGGGATGCACATAATTATAAATAAAATGTTTCATGGCCCTCCTGACCTGCTCTTGAAAAGAAGAATTTTAAAGATTTATTCCTTTATAATCACAAGCAAAACTGTTCCCCTATTGTGACTTCACATTATCCGAGGGGGTCATAATTTGAACAATTTAGACCGTTTCATAAGGGTTTTACCCAAGTTCCATGTTTTCTGGCTCAGTGGTTCTTAAGATTTTTAAATGACCCCCACTTATTTTTTACCTTTTCTTGATTATCTCCCCTTGGAAGGGGCATGGTCCTTCATTTGAATAATTCAGAATCCCCTTTACCCAAGGACCAAGTTTGACTGAATTTGGCCCAGTGTTCTTTAAAAGAAGTAGATGGAGAGACAGATGGATTCAAGACAATGGATGACCAGAAAAGCTCACGAGCTTACAGCTCAGGTGAGCTAAAAAGCCTGGAAAATGTCAGATATTTCTGATTTTCAGACTCATTATACGTCTATTGAAATAAAAAGTGTATAATTTAGACTATCATTTTTATTTTCAACGATTAGTTTCATACAAGAAATGTGTATATAAATAACAATAACTATTTATCACAGAGTTTGACCATCAATTTAAATTTATTAAGCAACTTAAACAATATTACTGGTGCTATATAAAAAATAAGAAAAGTCCTATAGCAAAAGCAGTACTAAGTTCAAATGACTTCAAGAAATTGACTTGCAGAGATGCGTAAAACAATATTGTGAACATAAACCCATAATGATTGTCAAATCTAAGAAGTATATTCTTGCACAAGTAAATACAAATAAATAAAGGTGACCCTAACAAAAAGAAAGTGTATTTTAAAATTCCCTGAACACATTCCATCTGAACATGCAAAGATTTATTATATTCCAAGAAATTGTTACAGTAACATATTCTTAACAGTTAACATATTCCCTGAATACTGTGAAATCACTAATTTCATGATTTCATGGTAAATTTGTGATTTCATGGTCAGTAGAGACCCAAAAATTCAGGTCCTCCATAAAATGTAAAATATCAAATTTAAAACAACTCAATTTTCTTCAATCATGAAATCAAATCCCCATGAATCAATATTTTTTCCTCAAACCAAAAAAATTGACACAATAAGAATAAGTGATTTTACAGTATAACAAAACAAAGTGCACTTTTTTAATTTAGATAACAAGGTAACTGTACAATAACAATTGGTTTAAAATGTTGAGTATTTTGAACATTACAGTGTATATTACAAAATAATTTTACTAATTAAAACAATAATGAATTGTCAAGAAAAATAATGCCAGTAAAACCCAAGGTTAAACCTTGATAAATAAGAAGATTACAACATTAAAATCCTTAGCTAACACAGATCTCTCAATTAGGAAACAAACAAGAGGCCTATAGGAGCCAGAATTGCTCACCTGGCTGTAGGCAATTAAAAAATATTATTTAATTTTTGTTTGGATTATAAAAACAAACCAAACCTTTGACTGTTTGACAGTTCAGCAGCAACAATTCCAAATGGATGATAGAATATTTATGGAACTTGATAAATATATAGATTATGTCAGATAATTTTTTTTTAAACATTTCTCATTTATCTGAAATAATTTACAAATAACTACCCAAATAATAAAATTATCATGTTTCAGAGGCTATAACTCCAATTCAGGATCAAACATATATGAAATTTGGTACACATACAGACCTTATGTATTTTATTTTGTTAATACAGTCATCATGTACATGCATTTCACATCATTTTCTATAAGTAAAAAAACTGCAAAAATCATTAGAATTTGACATTTTGAGGATCACAACTCTAACATGAATGCATAGAATTTTGCAATGAAACTTGCAAGGTATCTTGATCTTGGCATACTGATTATTTTTGCCCTACAAGATCTGCTTTTATTTCCGAGTGATTAGCAAAGGACTGCATACATGTATCATCCTTATGTTCTATCCATAGTAAGAGTGGTCTTGTTTTTCATTGGATTAAAATGAAATGATTTGTAGAGGACATGCCCCACTTAAATTTTATGAAGCCCTAGAGAATTTTGCTCATATAGTTTTGAAAGGGTTTATGATGGCAGATGCCAAGTGATGGCATATATGTATAAGCTCATCTGGCTCAGGGCCAGGTGAGCTAAAAGGAGGCTAGAACAAGATGGAAACAACGAATAAAATATAACAATACTGGTATAAAAATTTACACAATGTAAAAATAACAAGTATGTTTTTATTCCAGTTGCAGTTGACCAACCCATTTGAATGTGATAATTCCTGCATACACATCTTGCTATCCAGACAAATTATTATGTGCTCCAATGTTGGTTATGATGACATATTATACATACCAAAAGTAGATCATGTTCCCATGTTCCTTAAATATATAATCAGATATGTGATTAACTATTTTTACATTATGTGTGCATGAGCAATATAAAAAAAGAAGCTATACTTACCATGTGCTGAGATCTTTTGTCTTGGGGGGGGGGGGGGGGGGGGGGGGGGGGAGAAGGGGAGGGGGGTAATAAAAGTATGAAGACTACACAGTGTATACCACTAAAACCCCATGAAAAACACCATACATCCATAACAATTAGGTTACATATGTTGTTAATTTGTTTGCCCAATAATAGAAAAATTGATTATACAAACTTTGAACAACATGAATTCACAATTACTTATGCTTCACTCAAAAAAATAATGAAAATGTAAATTAAATAGCTTTTTCCAAATGCCATAAGGCACAATCAAGTGATCACAATAGTGTTACTGTAGATTCCCAAATGTACGCAAAGAATTCATTATCCTGTTATTTCGTGAGAAACACCACTATTTTTATATGGTTTAAATGCATGTAAAACTCTTGATCGACTGTCCACTCAACAATTCATTGTCTTGGGATTTGTCATTTTCAAGTCATGTCGCAATATTTATTACTCGCGTAAAATAAGGAATCTACAGTAATGAGTGCATATGACTTTATAAATACATATTTACGTTTCTGACATCTCACGACAAGTATCATGTTTTACTTCATAAATCTAAAGCCCAATCATTTTGCCGGTATATTGGTACTGGAAAAACGTATCGCAATATGATATTTTTTGTTAACGAATCGCAATATACCAGAATATCGATATAATTATTGTGCAGCCCTAATATATTATATATATATTATATATATATCAGGTACTTAAATAATCTCATTCAAAAACCACAGAGAATCCTTTTTTTTGGCTCAATTACTCTTCATTTACTGCAAACTACAGACATCTGAGGAGGGAAAACTTTTTTTTGAGGATGACGTCTGCCCACTGCTCTGGTCAGAGTAGCTAGGTCTGCTAGTAGTCAGTCTTGTCTGAATCTCTTTAGGAAGAGCCTTAAATCTGGGTTGATCTTTTATTCTGTCACTGTTACTCAGCATGAAATGCCAAGCCATTTTGTTAATGGATTCTGAAAAAAAAATTGTTAAGGATATTTATTTGTGACATTAAAATTTTTGCTCAGGAAGTCATTTGAAGTCTCTTGTATAGATTGATAAAAATTTCCATTGTTTAAGTTGTAAGGAGGCAAACAAAAAGAATGATTAAAATCAATTAATTTCTAAATCTTTGATCACAAAAACCACTCTAAACTGTTCAACTTCATGTACTATAAACTCCATTTCCATAGTGGAGAATACAGTCAAACCTGTCATAGTGACTAGCTGTATTTAGTGACTTCCTGTCATATGGGACCATAAAATTTTCTCTCATGAATTTTTCATTTAACTTTACCTCAATTCAGTGACTCGCTGTCCAACGCGAGATGCAACCATCAATTTTCATCCCAAAGCACTTTATGACCCTTAATTTAGTGACTTTCATCCCTGCTTTTGAAATCAAAAATTATAAAATGCTTCTTTTATGCCCTAAATTGCCCCAATTTTGCAGAAAAATAAACATTTTAAATGTAGCTTTAGATTATCATTGAAATTGCTCTGACAAGGATTGTATAAAACTTGTGTACATTGCTTTCTTTCTGATTACCGTAGTGTTTTGTTTTTCCCTTTTTTGCATAATCTTGTCAAGAGTAGTTTTATCCTTAACACTGTCATAAAAGTGTGAAACGCAATAAAAACAAAACAGTTGTTGGGATTTTCTTAAAAAAAAATATACATATACACTTAATGCAGATAGGAATACAAACAATTTGTACAAATACATGTATTTATTGAATATATTTAATTTATCAAAAAGAATGAAATGATTCAAGACCACATGTATGATGGACAGGAAACAGGAAAACAAGTAAACAAGTACATGTATTCTATTTAGTATTCATGCATGTACTTTAAAATTTGCTAGAATATGGTTCCCTGATTTAAGAAACTACCTGTCATATGTGAGCATTTTAGAATTTCCCTTGATAGGTCACTTCATACAGGTTTGACTGTATTTACATATAAGAAGTTAATCAAAAGCTTTGAGCATAAACATGTATGTGTTAACATATTCATCCATAATGGAATTTGTCTCAAACTCTCCTCCCTGAAGAGATCTACTTCATGTATGTACTGAGGATATGAAGAGTTCAAATTTTCTTCTCACAACTTTAATATTGGCAACTGTGTCTCATACTTAAGGTTGTGCTTGAGGAAGATTACTGAATAGTCATGGGTAGGGCAGGAAGAAAGATGAAGTGAAAGGTATACTACAAGGAGCATGGATAAAGCATACTAAAAATCTGCTTGAATAAAACAGAATAACAAAAGCATAGTTAACACATAATGGATGAGGCATTTAATATAAGCATAAATGAAACATACTGATTACAGAAAATAAAATAAATATGAGGTACACTAAGAGAAAGAGATGTGAAGCATAATGAGAGAACATGAATGAAGCATACTGAAATAAGGAAATAATTATGAGGTATATTAATAGAATCAGATGTGAAAGCATAATGAAAGAAGCATGAAAGGGGCATACTGAAATAAGCAAATATGAGGCATATTAATAGAATCAGATGTGAAAGCATAATGAGAGAAGCATGAATGAAGCATACTAAAATAAGCAAATATGAGGCATATTAATAGAATCAGATGTGAAAGCATAATGAGAGAAGCATGAAAGGGGCATACTGAAATAAGCAAATATGAGGTATATTAATAGAATCCGATGTGAAAGCATAATGAGAGAAGCATGAAAGGGGCATACTGAAATAAGCAAATATGAGGTATATTAATAGAATCAGATGTGAAAACATAATGAGAGAAGCATGAAAGGGGCATACTGAAATAAGCAGATATGAGGTACATTCATAGAATCAGATGTGAAAGCATACTGAAAGAAGCATGTCTGGATCACATTAAGAGTATTACTGTTTAAATACTGCAAGAATCAACCTAAAATATGCTGAGAAAAGCAATTAAGACTAATTCTTGTCAGAATGAGACACATTAAACTGATAGAGGCATGTTGAGGCATAGTTAAAAAGACACACTGAGGGAGACCTGGATTAGGCATACTGAAAAAGATAAAAGAAGGCATGCTGAGAGAGGTATATATCTGAAGAATACTGAAAAAGCATGCCAACAGGCAAAAATGAGGCACTCCAAGAAAGGCACTAGTCAAGCATTTCCATCACATGGTCATGTACCCATCGGATTACAGAACAGTACCAGAATAATTGTCTATTTTTTTTACATTGTGCAAAAGTAGCAATATGTAAAGAAAAAATTGAGGATTTTAATGAAAAAGCAGAAGTATTACTCACTTAAACCCTCCCTAAATCTCCCATATTTATTTGCAACTAAGTGTCTTCTAATCAAACTTAAATGTAAATGTAAAACTTACATGCCTTATTTGAAGCAATCCATATTTTGACCATATAAGAGTCTTACCTTGTGATATTCCCAAAGCCTAAATAAATTTTGAATATTTACAAGCAAATCTTTTTTAAAAAATTTTTTGGAATCCTCCCTTACTTAATTGTGGATTGGACAAAGGTTTGATTTAAGCAAGCGACCTTGAGCATAGCATATGTTGTCTTCATGCTCTCAGTGTTTTTTTTTTTTGTTACAAGACAAGCTATTGTAGGTGTACTTGATTCATCTTTATCAAACTTAAGCACAAAATGTGGTTCAATTACTATTTTCCCCCAAGCATGAATTAGCAACACATGTACCTTATGTTTACATATATGTAAACTTACATTAATTCATATTTTAGTATTGATAATGAACTGGTGTACATACCAATCTTTATATCACCAAAATACAATTCTTACTATGATTAGTCACATATATAATATTAATATTATCCTCTACCTTTAATTGTTATTGTCATTAACAAATGATCTTAAAACTACATCAAAGCCTTAATGAATTAGGATGTCTTACACCTCTGCACAGAACTATTCTTACTGGTCTTACTCACATTAATTAAAATAAAATCCGATATTTTAACTAAATTGTTCTTACCAAGACCTGGTTGCTTATATGACTCCAGAAATGCCTCCAATACATCGTGCAAGGGCAGAGAATTCACAGTTAAGATCCTTCTTTCACACAGAGCCTTCAGTCCTGGCAAATCAAATTTTTCAGCCGCTGAAAATGTACCACAGCTCAATTAACACTTATCCTTATCATGCTCAAGTTATTAGATAAATTTTACTGCTGTAAACAAATTACCTTTTTACTGCTGTAAACAAACTACCTTTTACTGCTGTAAACAAACTACATTTTTACTCTGTAAACAAACTACATTTTTAATGCTGTAAACAAACTACCTTTCTATTGCTGTAAAAAAAACTACCTTTCTAGCACTTACAACATTAAACTATAGACTCTAACCTTCACAAGTTTCTTGAGGTCAGTGAAATTGCAAAAGACTGTAAACCATGAATGAATCTATAGTGTCCTTTTCATCTTTGAACACAAAGATAAATTTGGGATAGATGAAACAAATTACAGGGTGTTTAATAACACCTGTCCCCATAATTATTGTCTGTTATAAATCTTTGATTTTAATCATATTTGAAACAATAAAACAGTATTCTAAACGAGAAAAGAAAATTTTATACCTTAAAATATTCAGTTTTAAAAATGTTCTGCTGTGAATGACATATTAACCAATTAACTGTTATAAGGATGATGCAAAGAAGTGTCCAATTCAGAGAAAACTCTTTAGTGTTTTATTAAAGCAAATCTGAGAACACAGCAGGAAATGAAAGAATAATTCCAAACACTATATTAAACTCTCTTTTGTCATGAAAAGGATGTCATTTAGTATGCATATTGTAAGATAAATTTTTTTAGATGGCTTAATCAAAAGAAAATTATGAATGCATACACCAAGAAAAAAAATCTTGAATTGAAATTTCTTGAATCTATTAAAATCTGATGAATACATTTTTCTGATGTATTTCTATACATGTTTGTAATGGGGAGAGATATAATTATGAAACATCCAATACAGGTGTATATTTGCTATATATTTGCTAAAACAACAAAATTGTTTAAGTAGCTATGATGGAAAGTTGGTTAACAGTACCAGGGTACTTCAAAATCAATATGCAGCGTAGTCTTACAGTACTACTTATAAAGAGCCCTTTTTCATATTGTTCCCAGGAATTATTATTTATATTTCAAACAAAACTCATTCTCTGAAGTACATATAAGTATTTTATTCCGTAATTTACGACAAAAAGTTCAAACCTTGAGCAGTTCTGATGATACACATGACGTTAATTTCTACAGGAAGTTTGGCAACGTAGATAATATCTGGGAGTTCCTCAGTATACAGGAAATGAAGGATGACCCCAAATACATCTGGTGTGACATTGTTTAGTACTAGTGAGTCCTACAAATAAATCATTCAATAAATCAATTGGCACAAGCAGCCTTATAAAACTCTCTACAGTAAAACATGGTTAAAATGAACATGCTTGTAATGCGTCACACTTACAGTGAAGTGATTTTCATTCCTTGTAGTTTTGTGAATTCATAGGATAAAACCAATTACATTTATAACGAATCAAAATTGTTCACTCCTAACATTTTTCTACATGTACACTACTGGACATATCAAGTCAAATGCTATAACTTTCTGTTTTTTAAAGTTGTGAACTTTAAAAAAAAAAATTTCTTAAATATTTTTAAGTCTAACAAATTCAAAAAAAAAATAAAAAATGAGATCCGCAGTCTCATTTGAAGTCAACATTTTGCAAATTCTCTGGTCGGCATGACGACCTTTGTGAGCAAATACAATCTATCATTAAGTTGAATGTTGACTGTCAAGTTTTTTCATACAAATTGTTAGCCATTAGTTTCACAGTGAATTGATTTTTCCATTTACCAGTTTATGACAAGGAACACACAGTGGGTGTGACCAGTTGACAGGGAATGCTTACTCCTCCATGGCACCCAATCCCACCTATGGTTTTATTAGAGGTGTGTGTTTGCTCTGGTCACAATTTTAATTATTTCAATGGACTTCTGAGCTTGATAACTGTTCATTATCATCATATTTCATCTCTAAATTTTATATATACAGTATCTAGAATTTTTTTATTCAAAAGATTTAGGCATTGAAAGACAATTTTTTAATATCTAGAAAAATGCCTTGAATTCTTTGTAAGAAAAGTCAATTAGTGGGCCATTATCTATGAAGAAATCTTTAAATCCTAACAATTATATACTAGAAATGTAATATACATACTGTAAATATAGAGCAAAAACCAAAATAACTTTCAGCCAATATTAAAAGATGTATTGCATTGATAATGAAAGGGTCAAATATGTAAAAAAAAATTTTTTTTAAAAATTTTCCGTAACTTACTCCAGAAAAGTGTGCTGGAAGCTTTGTTTCCCGGGGTTGTACTGGGGGTAGATTTCTAAAACCAACAGAGTTCTTTACCCCATACAGCTGCTCGGAAGTGGGTAGAGCTGAACTAAAATCGTTAGGGGGTGGGAGACCAAACAAACTATCATATGAGGGAGGGGCATCGTCATCTAGGGGTGGGGCTGTTGGCATTACAGGTTCTGGTAATGGGGGGTACATTCCCTTCTCCTGTTTAGCCTGAAAAAAAATTATGTAGAATGAAAATTAAGTTTGACCATTTACAGATACAATGTTTATCTTATTTGTTTCCAGCTAACTGTAAATGCTCAGAATATTCAATAAATTGAGCTAATAACAAACATCTGAAAATTTATTTTAGTTCCAATATTTTAAACACTTCTTCAGTCTACTTTGACACAATAATGTGGACTTTGTATTGAATAGCCAGAATTCTTACTGTTGAAGGTATATGGCCATCAAGAAAAATGGACTTAAAAAAAGATGATCTTTGTGCCATTATGGCCTTATGTCCATAGAATGATAGACCATCCACAATGATTTCAACATCACTAAACATCTTGTTATTCACCAGCTTAGAGAAACAGGATGCCAGAGATGATAACTCTATAAAAAAAAATTTAAAAAAATGTATCAAGTAATTCAACATTTAGAAATGATACAATTGGCAGAGGTATACAAAACTGAATTAAAAGAGCTAGGTTCACTTTATGCATAAAATGGCCCTGTTCTTGTGTCAATTAATTAACTATCACCCTCTGCCCTATTTCATATATCATAATTAAAGTAGAGACTTAGTGCTCTCATTTCCTATAACGAAATTACTCTTTGAGGATTCAGGTATTGGAAAACAGGCTTTGTGAAAATGCAATGTACTTGAATTTTGCAGAAAACAGGCATATTTGACTACATTCAGCAAAGAATTAAAATATGAGCACAGTCCTCGATCCAAAACTTAAAACATGTTTTATGATCTTAAGAAACAGACCTTTCATTATGTAATAGCATATTTTGGATCAGAGATTGTGCTCTATATCAAATATTGAAAATATACTCCAACTTTTGACCATTTTTAAAGGAATTTACAAGATATGGTAAAAATGATACATTTCATGAGGTCATAATGCATTGACTGTGGAGAAAATTATGTCATGTTCAATAGATACACGGTCACCAAGGGTCCAAGTGATAAATACTGCATTGTCAACCAAATCTGAGCAGATTTGATTTTTCAGAAACTCACAGGGCCAAAAAAGGCCCTAAGTGGCCCTTGCTTTTTCTTATTCTATATGCAAAATACAGTCAAATCTCATTATCTCAAACTCGATAGGATAGAGAAAAAACTTCGAGATATCCAAGGGTTGAGATACTGAGGGTAAAATACATTGAGAAAAAGTAGTTGGGACTTCCAAATGACTTCAGCATATCCATGGTATTTGAGATATTGATGTTCAAGATACCGAAGTTCAACTGTATATATGACAGTACAGGTCTATTCAATTTTTCCTCATCTTAGAGCACGTCTTTTTCTTAATCTCATTGAATTCTTAAATGATTGCTTTTAATATACAAAATGAAGAGACTATAATGAACACATGATCATACAACCAAGTTTAAAATAATCTCACTTCATTAATTTATGAATGATAGTAAAATTATATCTATAAATAGCTTACATTCTTATTTTTACATTAATTTTGAGAAAAATGTTACAAAAGATGACACTGAAGTCATTATTTTCTTACCTGGCATTGTGGTTCCCTTAATATTAATGGCATCAAGTTCCACCCATGAATGGCTTGCTGTACAATCAATTTCAACTCTAAGCTCATCCACTGGAAATTTGGGAGGCTGCATAACAAAGTCAACATTTTTTCAAAGTGAGTGTGACATTAAATTTTGTTCAGTCTATAACATTAATAAAGACAGCAATTGCTCTAGAAATATAGAGAGAACTGTAAAAAGATAACAATCTGAAAATCTATTATGATTTATATAAATAAGAGCATTATGATTACAATTTTATTTTTACCATATTCTTGCCTAAACAGCCCTCCACTCTCAAACTTCAAAATTCATTGTTTGTGTTGATTTGAGTGTTGATTTATGAGAATGTGAAAGATCACACTACACTCTATATGTTTTCGATAACATTGGAATCACGGTACATGTCATTTGTCTCCCTTTTTCATCCCCCCCCCCCCCCATATGACATGTTAGATTACAAGAACATACTTCAAACATCCTTCTTTATTTCCGAGTACTCACAAAATGAAATATCAAACCCTACTAAACAAATTTCGATCTACTACAGTTTGTTTTTATGTCTTTATTTCCAACACAAAGATCATTTTGTGAGGTATTTTGTTAAAATTTTCTCATTTATTTGTGTGTGTGTGTGTGTTGTGTGTGTGTGTGTGTGTGTGGGGGGGGGGGGGGGGGGCGAGTCTTGCTTTATAACATTCCTCACAGACAAACAAAAAGAGAAAAACCCCATTATCAGAGGAGATAACATGTATTGATACACAAGGAACCCTTCTCTTGTGACTGGTCACACTAAGCTAGATCTAATATGTATTTTTAAGTATCTTTTTTAGTGATCTTCAAGGTACATATTTAATGAGCTTGGTTCAGTAAGTGCTAAGTAAAGTCTATGGACTTTGATATTTTGTATGTGTAACGCATAAATAAAAACATTTCAAAGTCAACTTGGAGGCTTAATTGTGACCTTCCTTGCTCAAAAACATTGAGGTCTGGCACAACTATTGTTATTGCATCTGTGTCAACTATGCTTGTGTCTTTTCTTTTTTTTTCCCACAAATGTAAGGTCCATATGGATAAAGGTACTGGTATATGGACAAATAAAAACTAAAATAAGTCAAATAATAAAAAAAAAGATTGCTGAATACAAATACAAATGTTTTTAGAGGTGTGCAATATTTACACTGAACCATGGAGAGAAAATTCGACTGGATTCCAAATTTTGGCAGTGATTTGTCTCGTAAAGCATGACCCAATTTCCTGCCAAATCCTTGGCTGAAACTCTCTTGACTCCACCTGCATGATAAGTCTCGTATATGTTGATTTCATTCAGGTACAACTTCTCCTCAAACTTCACCTGTAAGCATTAAAAGCAAATTTTATCTAAAATTTAATCAATTGTATTGTCAGCTAGCTTTGTAAGCATTGGATTGATGCACTTAATTTCAAAGATTGTAAAAACAGACAATATTCTTGGAATTGCATCTTGTATCAAAGAGAAGAAGTTGAAATTGCATAAACTTTCAAACAAAAAAAACCTGTCCATGACATACAAGTTGTTAGGACACAGCTAGTTGTTTATCAAATTCAGTGAGTCAATAAATGGCTATGGTGATGCTTTGATTAAGTCTCCACATGTATTTTGTAAATGAGTGATGCTTAAGTGACTCTATGTAGTCAATAAGTGATGCTTTATTGATTCTATTTAGGCCATATTCACATATATACCTCAATAAACTGGTGAGCATCTTTAGTTTGAGTAGCCCATGCTCCTGGGACATCTCCATATGTAGGATACACTCTTGGTTCACCAACAACCATATTCGCTGACCATCTGTCCAGAATACAAAAAGAAGGAACAAATTAAGAGCTATTCTAAAACTGATGGTATATGAAAAAAAAAATCAAATGCCTTCAAACACACAATGTTACCTCAGTTGAGTATTGCTTGCTTAATCCCAAAATGAATGATTTCTTCGTGATAACAAATAATTGTAACTACATTTGTTACAAATCTTTCAAATTCTCAAATGTACGTAGCAGTTGGTTTATGGAAAAGGGTATATCAGACTAACCAACACAAGACTGAACTTTTATTGGAGTACATGGGATGGACAACAGTTAGAAACAAGATGAGTTTGTGAAACACTTATTCTCTCACTTATTCAGCTCATGGCCAAAGTTAAAGTCTTTCAAAAGTTGGTCAAACTCCAAGGTCAAGGTCATGAGGTCAAAACGTTGGTATCCAAAGAAAGATGTTTCACAAGGAATACACATGTGAAATTTAGTTTTACAAAATTGAGTCAAACTTCAAGGTCAAGGTCATGAGTTTAAAAAATTTGGTATCCAAGGAAAGATAATGTGTCAAGGAACATACATGTGAAATATAAAAGCCTTAACATCAACCATTCTAAAGTTATGGGCAAGGTTAAAGTTTTTGCGGACTGACAAAGGGACAGATAGATTGACAGCGCAGCACAGTTAAGGCTACAAAAAGGGGGCGGAGCCTAATTTGTACGGGAAAAATTAACTATGACATCATACAAAACCAACAATTCTTTAAAATACCACAAAATGAAATGATTTGCTATTTTAAGTTGTAGGAGACCATCAAACTACATTAAAACTTACTACAACATGCTGTTTTGTCGTTAGTTAAATCCCACTTAACAAGAAATAAACAAGTCACTGATCGCAATGCACTTGTCGATGTGACGTCATTTCGTAAAACTTGACGCAGTTTGTATGCAGTGAGTGGCGGATCAAGTAATATTTTCTCAACGAAAATGTATTCTATAATTAAATAAAATATTATTTACGGATATTTCATAGGCCATTAATTTGGATTCAATGTCTTCTTTACGATTTTATTAATATATTTTCTGTACATCACCTATTTAATTGATACTGCCGTATATTTGTATGCAAGTACATTGGAGTGTAATGTAAGGGTCTTAATAAATCGATCTAGTGCAAGGGCATACACTCAATGGATCATAGTAAGCTTTTACATATCAACTCTAGAAGTATTAAGGTATCTGAAAAGTGCTGCGATCCTGATGAAATCTTGAAAATGATTTAATTATATCCATATTTAATGTCGTTGACCAGCAAAAAATACAACATGCGGTCAAACAAATACGATTTTAACAATGAAATAGCAGAATCCATATATGATCGCAGCACTTTTCAGAAACTACAATGCGTGTTGAAAATATTTATAAACTAAACTTAGAATTTTAACTTGGTTATGCCCTTGCACTAGTGAAATTTATAGGTGACCTCAATACTGCAAGTAAATGTGCTCAAATCACGTGACTGCCACATCACGTGACAAGTCTAAATATAAAATCTAATCGTCCTCAATATGTAGTTATTAACCATAATTACATTTGTCAGATATAAATAATGTACTAAAAATAATCGCCATCCTGATTATGAATACATTTTTTATCACAAAAATTTGTCGATATTTCCATTGCGCACCTTAACTGTACTGCGAGACCAAAAAACTACATGCCCCTGAATCTTCCATTACGTGGGCATAAAAACTTTCCTTAAGGAACAAGAGGATTATCATTTATCTCTTTGTCAACTTGAGTCTTGTTTTTTCCCATTTAAGGTTCATTGACACCATGACAAGAGAGATAACTCTTAATGACATAAATGTCTATTATTTCTTTATAAATCTGACAAGTTGAGATGTCTTTTTTGTCCAAATTTGCCTCGCAATCCATGATGCAATTGTTTGTATTTTATTCATAAAATACATTTCTTTTGGAAAATCTTAAGTGTTAAAGCGACATTTTATATGAGTGAGCCAAGGGTTTATGAACCTTAAACTCACCCTGAGGTGTTGTATTGAGTGGAGAAGTTGGTTATTTCTGCCACCCACAGACTTGTGACTTGGGGTCCTCTTCTTTGGTTCTGTATTAAGCTGCTTGCATCTAGCATAAATATATATATATATGATACATCTAGCTTAGATGAAATAATTTTTTTGTGCAGAACTTAAGACTATTGATGAGTTATTTGGTCAGAAATATGCATTGAAGATTCAATGTTGAATATGTAGAAGTTAAAATTGTCATATTATTTTAATCAGAGAAGATTTTCTTTGACAGAAATTACAATATCTGATAAGTTTCCAGTATGTAACTATCTGTATACCTGTTCCCTGTCTTGACCCCACCAATTCCACGGCATCAAGTTCCACCCAACTCTGAGCTGCAGAACAGTCTATTTCAATCCTGATCTTATTGGTTTCAAAATTGTTATTCTGAAAATAAAATTTAAAAAAATACAAGTCTACTTTTATATATTTTCATACATTCTAATAGTTATGGCACTTCGATTTTCATTGAATTTTTTATTTTGCCCTAAATATTTCTACATAAGCTTTGACACCATTATTACGGCATTATTCCAGGGATCACAATTAGAACATATCGGTGTTTGAGATACAGAAATTCAACTGTATAGTTATATCCCCAAATACATCTGTAATCAATTGCTAGAAAAATTAACTTCATGTTTTTTAAAGGCTAAAATAAACTATTGTTAAAGTATACTGACAAATCAAGTATACTCTAAAGTATTAAACACAATGAAGCATAACTAATCAAATCTAATAGGCCTATTGGTCGTCTACAGCGTCAGTGGGTAAGATTCATGATATAATCATGTTACAGTGAGTATACAAGCAGCAATTACCTCTATATGGTTTCTAAATAATAAAATACAAGTTTTCTATGTGTGTAAAACTGCTACCTTTAATTGTGTTTACAGCTACCATAGTTCAGAATTACCATGTGACACAACGGATTAATAATTGAAATAGGTACAAGAAAAAGTATCTATGACCTTTATGTTTTTAAAATCCTATCGTATTACAAAAGATATCTATCAAATACTTTTGATCTAATTTATTTCAGATAATTCCTGATATTAAATAATCTCTGATATTCAAAACACTGAATTTTCTCGCTAACAAGGACACATCCACGAACAAGTCTGCGGCTGCCTAGTTTTTGATAAAGTCAAATACCCAAATGATTTTGCTATGTTTATTATGCAGATTCTTGCATTAAAGAGAACCCTGCTTGTACAAATTCTAAAGACTATTTTCTAAAGACTTCTAAAAACAAGAGGCTCAAAGACCTTAATGGTCACCTGAGTATAATGTAACACTGTAAAGGATCCACAGATTGAATATAGAATAAAACAAAATAAACTGATAAATGAAACTATGTTGCCCAAAAGCAAGAGAAATGGGATGATCAGGGATCAGCAAAATAATTAGTACTTGGTAAAAAATCTTAAAGTTGATCAATATACTTGCCTGTACTTGCCCCAATTTGTCACTATCACCATGGGTACTAAACAATAGTTCTTGAGCAATAGTAGTAAACCCATCTCATTCTCTCTCATATTGCCTTCTCTTGGTCTTTGAAGAACATTTAATGTACAAAGATAAGGTGTTTTTGTCCCTCCCACTTTTATTTATCTATAATTTAAAAGTCTACCTGACCATTAAAATCTATGAAAGTACTTTTTTTATTTAATATTATATAAAATCCTTGTATAATTCTGTTATTCAATTACATTATCTATATTGATTAATTGTCATAGGTGAATAGCAAAGGGGAAATAACTTATTTCAGTAGAATACAAATTAATAAATTGACCATGCAGAATTTCAAAAATCTGTTAAAATACTCTTGCTTTTAAAAACTTTGTTTACTCTGTTTGCTTCTTTTTAGATGCCCTGGAGCAGAGAAGAAGATTTTCAAAGAAATAATGCATTTTTAATAGAGATTCAACATAGTCCCACCCTAACAATAAAGCCCCTAACATGAGGACCAAGAAATTCACAATTTTGGAAGAGGCACTCTTGCTAATCATAACCATTCACTTAGTATGTTTGCTTAAAACCTATGGACAGAGAAGAAAATTTCAAAGAAATAATGCATTTTTACTATATATTAAAAAAAAGCCCTTCGTAACACCAAAACCCCTGACTCAGGGGTTATGAATTTCAAACTTCTTGAAAAGGCATCCTTGCTTATCATAACCAAGCAAGAAGAAGAGAGAAGTTTGTTTTTAAAGAATTAATGCAATTTCACTACATAATCAACGGAGCCCTGCCTTAACATCAGAACCCCTTATCCAGGGGCCATGAAATTCACATTTTGCAAGAGGCAACCTTGTTCATCATACAAGTAACTATGCACTTGGTTGGTTTGTTTAATACCCAGTAGCAGAGAAGAAGATTTTGAAAGAAATAAAGCACTTTCACTATATATTCAACAGACCCCCCCCCCCCCCCCCATCTGAACCCCTGACCCCAGGGTCCACAAATTTTGAAAGTCACTCTTGATCATCATAACAATGCACTTAGTTTATCTGCTAAATACCTAAGAGCAGAGAAGAAAATTTTCGAAAAATGAATGCCTTTTCATTATAAAATCAGTAAACCCCCCACACACAGAACCCCTGACCCCAGTGCCACAAATTTCACAATTTTAGAAGAGGCACCCTTGATTATCATAAATATGCACTTGGTTTGTTTTCTTGATACCCAGGAGCAGAGAAGAATTTTTTTATAGAAATAATGTACTTTCACAATATAATCTATTTAATAGAGCCTCCTATCCCACAGAACCCCTGATCCTTAGGCCACAAATTTCACATTTGAAAAATTTCAAAATTTTGATCATCATAACCATGCACTTAGTTTATCTTCTTAATACCTAAGAACAGAGAAGAAGATTTTTCAAAGAATTGATGCATTTTCACTATATGTTCAATAGCCCCTCCCTAACAGAGAACCCCTGACCCCGGGGCCAAGAAATCAAAATTTTGGAAGAGACACCTTTGTTCATCATAGTTATATATTTGGTTTGTTGCTTAATACACAGAGCAGAGAAGAAGATTTTGAGAGAAACTTTTCATTATACTTGTATAATAAATAAAGTCCTGCAGAGCCCTTCACCCTGGGACCACAAATTTCACAAATTTCTTAAAGAACTTGTGCATTTTCACTATATGATCTCTGGAGCCTCTTCCTAACTTCGGAATCCCTGACCCCTCGGACTTGAATTTCTTAATTTTGGTAGAGGACTCACTGCTTATTACACTCATGCAAACAGTTTGACTGTAGAAGTCCAAAAGTACATAAATGATTTTTAAATACAGCACTAATTTTGATGATTTCAGCCCCATCCCTAAGGTCTCAGAAAGGCAGGGACCATGAAATTTATAATTTTTAGTTATTATATGTCTTTGACTCTTTGTTTTCTTGAAAATTTGTGGTATTAATGCAGATTCATTTTCAAATTAGATTTTGTACTTGTGTGGTATTTGTCAAAGACATATAATAACTCATATATGTTTTATGCCAAAATTGGTTCAGTGATTTAGAGAAGAAGCTGAAAATGTTCAAATGTTAATGCACAGTGCATGACGGATGAAAACAAATAGTAATAGGTCACCTGAGTGGTTCAGGTGACCTAAAAAACTAACAGCAAATAGATCTACTGTAAGTGAGTCAGGTTAAACTTATAGTTTACATACCTTTAACACAGGAGAAAATATTCGACTCATTTGTATAATCTCAAGGTTGGGTGCTTCATATAAGATGACCCAGTTATTTTGGGGATTCCTGGCATGGATTTTAGTGACTCCACCTGCATGGTATGTCTCGTAAATGTTGATTGATGATGGTATTACTTTTTCTTGGAATCCAATCTACAAATACCACACAAGAGTACAAAATCTAATTTGAAAATGAATCTGCATTGATACCACAAATTTTCAAGAAAACAAAGACATATGTGGGGGTTTTTTTTCATCTCAACCTTCATGGTACACTGATGATGTTTTTTTTTTATTTTGAATTTGAGCTACCTGGTACTTTGTACCTCTTAACTGCAGCTTTTGTTTTCAGAACTAGTATGTGATTTATGTAATGAATTAATTATCCATGTTTTATACTCATTAAAGTAAACATGCTTTAAAGTTTTATTATTTAATTATAACACTGGACATTTCATGATTTGGGAACATCAATTTAAAGGTAAATTTCTTCAACAAATGGATTGCTTGAACCCCCCTCCAGTTTTACCTCCACAAATTGAATTCCAAAGTCTCCACTGGCCCAGGCACCCTGCAGGTCCCCATATTCTGGATAAACCTTTGGGCATCCTAGTATCTGATTAGCTGACCAGCTATTAATTGAAACAAGTATACCTAATTATTTACTACGACTAAGTGGACCTAAAACTTTTTAAAGTTATGGTCATGGTATTCCCAAAATCAATGATAATATGATAAAAATGCTGATGATAATGATGTCTCTGATGAGGTTGGTACTTTAAAAGTCTCTCCTCAGCTATCAGCTATAAACACATTTCAATACTGTATAAGTGGAAATTTTAGTGAGACGCAAATTTAGCTATTTATCTTTAAATAATAGTAATTGATTTTTAGCAAGAATCAATTTTAGCGATTTTAAAGTGCCTACTAAAGAAGCTATTACAAATAAAACACAATTAATTTTTAGTGATATTCAGTTTTAGCGATCTCAACACCCTTGCTAATAATGCCAAAATTAAATCCTCGCTAAAAATTCTGCTTACACGGTTATACATTTTATAAGACCTACTCACCCTGATGAGTCATATTCAGATGAAAATGCATCTACAACTGACGCCCATTGGTGGATGGTTTTCAAATTACTGCTAGCTGTCTTCAAGGATGCTTCACATTATAAATTACAATTGACTGCTTTAAAAATCACTAGACAATCAATAATAAATTTAAAATAGAATGGATTTAATATTTCTCCAACTACATGTATAAGAAAAATCTGACCTATTCTTTTCAATATTTTCCCTCAACAATATAAGCTCTACTGATTAACCTATTTCTATACAGACATGCATTATATTCTGATTACTTAAAAATTGCAATAAACTGTCATTAGGAAGATGCATTCAAAAAGTTGTAAATATAGTTTCTGAGAAATTCCCTGCTGTAAACAGTCAAGAGTACCTGTTCCCTGCTTTGACCCCACCAATTCCACAGCATCAAGTTCCACCCAAGTCTGAGCTACAGAACAGTCCATTTCAATCCTGATTTTGTTTGTTTCAAAACTGTTATTCTAAAAATAAAATAAGAATCAAACAGGTATGTTTTAATTTAAATATAGTATTGTCAAGATCAGTTAAAGATTCTCAGAGATGTTAACTGTATCATTTCTATAATTAAAACTCTAAAAATTTATTGTATATACCTTCAATGGTGGTGAAAATATTCGACTGCTTTTAATTTTCTCAACCCTCTGTGTTTGATATAAGATGACCCAGTCATTCTGAGGGTTTTTAGCCTTGATTGTTTTAACTCCACCTGCATGGTATGTCTCATAAATGTTGATTGATGATGGTATTACTTTTTCTTGAAATCCAATCTACAAATATATCAAACAAATACAACATGGATAAATTAATATTAATGAATCTGTAAAATAAGTGTCATAATTATAATGTTTTGATGCAAAATGGGCACATTAACATTAATTTAATATGGGTTTAAATTTGCTAATGTAAAATTTTATTTCAATTTTCGTTTCCTTGGCAAGTAATTGTTAGTGTTTGAAATTGCATAAATAGAAATTACGTCTTTAATTTATATATATTCATCTTTTTCATATAAATTATTTCTTGAATTTGCAACTTGACCGATAGCACAAATCTCTACACAGTCTAGGTCAGATCCAGCATCCAATGCAGGTTGGTTTGTGATCATCCCTAGATGATCCATGCAAGTTTGGTCAAGGTAGGGCTAATATTCACTTGGGAATGGACCTGCTCCAAAAACTTAAACCTGGTCACTCATCCGGAAAATCTAGGTCAGATCCAGCATCCGAAGCAAGTGTGGTAGTGTCCATCCCTAGATGCATCATCACGCAAGATTGGTCCAGGTAGAGCTTATAGATACTTTAGAATGGACTTGCTCCTAAAACTTTAACCTGGACGCTGATGCTAACGCCGACGCGGGGAGTGTAGCATAAGCTCATCTCGACTTCGTCGAGGTGAGCTAAAAAAGGATACAAGTGTGTGCACTTCAATGTTGAGAATTTCTTCAGACAGATGCATTTATGGGACAAATAATAAAGGACATGAAATGCAGTCATAGTACACCTTTATATCAATAAGAATAATTAAGAAAACTTATTACATGTTACTTTGACAGGTGAATAAACCACTGGTAACATTAGTACCCCTCCCCCTTACACACCAAACAAATACAAAAGAAATACATCTAGTCCATTCAATAGGATATACACTTACATGCAAGAATGTTAAAAATATCTGCAATTAATAATTCTCCATTATTTTATCATTATTTATAAGTACAATTCAAAATATAAGCATGTTTGTAATCTAATTTTACCTCCACAAATTGAACACCAAAGCTTTTGCTTGCCCAGGCACCTTGCTTGTCTCCATAGTTTGGATAAACCTTTGGAGCTCCAGTTATCTGGTTAGCTGACCAGCTGTACAAGAAAAGAATACACCAAGATATTTCACAGAGTCATGCAATATATTTTAATAGAACTGTCTAAGCCCAGTTGAAAGTGACTGACTTCATAAATCCTACTTTTTGCAATTGTGATGATGACAATGCTGATCGGTACATTGAAGCTTGATCTACATTGTTGATTGTTTATATTTTACTCACCCTGTTGAGTTATACTGAGATGAGAAAGCATCTACAACAGAAGCCCATTGCCTTATGGTGTTGGAATTGTTGGTGGCCATATGTCAAAAGCACTTTAATATGTAGAATATATAAATGTAGGCTCTAAAAATACACAGATAATATTTTTTTCAAAGGATAAATCCTTCTTAATAAAAGAAATAATCTGTGAATACAGTGTTTCTCAAAGACCACTCTAAAAGACATCTTGACCAAAATACCACAGAAAATGAGCTAATTTGATGAGAATTAATTTCATGTTCAGCCCTATATTATCCTCACAACATCAAGAGTTCCTGGGTCCACTTCTGGATTTCTGGAACCCCGACAAACTTCATACAATATTTTACAGGCTGATATCTTTTGGGAAAATTACAAATCTTAATTGTTAATCTTACAGGTACCTCTCAGACAATCACATTATGCCTGGTTGTGACAATTACTTGTAACACATGCATTGATGTGTCAACTGCTTACTTTCTTTTACATTTCCTGTCAACTTATGAAAGCCCCAATCTAATTGGTGCCTTTCAATGAGAGAAGAATTAAAGTCTGTAGAATATTGAATAAAGTTTGTCATGGCCATGGGTCCCTTGTCCATGAGTATAAACTCAGTACCCCTGATATTATGAGGATTTACATACAGTTAAACTTCCTTATCTCTAACTCCGATATCTCGAATACCATGGATATGTCAAAGTGCTTTTTGAAGTCCCAAGCATTTATTTCTTAAGTATTTTACCTTGGATATCTCGAATCCTCGGTTATCTCAAAGTATTTTCTCTGTCCAATTGAGTTCAAGATAACCAGGTTTGACTGTATGTATATATATATATTCAGTTTAGTTCATTACATGGAAATAAATCTCCACCAGTTATAATTTCTTTTTTTGTTGATGACATTTGATACCTTAAAATGCCATGGTCATATTACTATAATCCACCAACCCATGTGTTTATTATCACAAACAACAGGGTTTTTTGTATTAAACATATAAACAATTAATAAATGCAAACCTCCCTACCCCCCATACCACCCCCCCCCCCCCCCCCCCCTAATTTGGATTGCTGAAGTTTACACGTTTATATTTATACCCGGACGTGTTTTTCTCTATTCTCATATTATTATTATTATTCTGCATATACAAACAGCACACAATGAAGCTCAAGAAAGCTTTTTATATACCACCCCTACCTGTAACAAGAATCGGTGCCTTTATCATGTGTTTATGGAAGCATGAACAAATGATGGAAGGCTTATATCCTTATTTTCCCTTTCTTGTTTACGCTGTTGTCTCGTAGGATTGCGCAATAGAGGTCGCTCTATTTAACGAAAAGTTCATACACATTTTTTCCACAGGATTTTCTCAAGAAAAAAAATAATGTTAGTTCCTTTATATCAGCTTCTAATATTACTAAAAAATAGACATAAAGCAAATTGTTTTAGATCTATGACTATAATTATAATAATTTTGGCAATTATATTAAAACGTGAAAATTATATTTCTAAAGGAAGTACTGAACCCGACTGAAAAAAATTACCTGAAGTCACCATAATCTGAATAGTTCATATCTGATATTTAACATATATATATTTTTAATTTTTATAATTTAGGCATACGGGGACCTATGGGCAACACTGCTCACCTGCGTCCAAATCATACTGAACACTGCTCACCTGCGTCCAAATGATACTGAATGTATAGATTTTAGGAACATTTAATGAATCTTTTCAGATTTCAGATTGAATTTAGGATACTGCTTGGATGAATGTATACATTTGAAGAATTAACATATGAAGCTTTTCAGATCTGGAAAGGGGGCAAAATTCAGACTGGGGAGAGTGCTTACAATTAAAATGGCTGAAAGATGGCAATTAAATAAACTAGGGGTACTATGAGTTTGCTCATGAAATGATTGATACGTACGTACCCCACTATGTCCACACTGCAATATTTTTACATTGCTACAACCCATGTTTTTCTTATTGAAATTCATGGATCAGACAAAAATTTTACACTTTGCTGCCAGTGATCTTGCTGAAATGACCCTGGGTCAAGGTAATGACATATTCTCAGGTCCAGTATGTGTCGAGTATGATAGAGATTCCAATTTGTCTCCATTACAAAGTTATGCACCAGACATGAATTATGATTATGAGCCTTTTCTACAGATAACTTTAACTTGCCCAAAAGACCCTGGGTCGAGGTCAAGTCATACACCCTCAGATCATAATCTCTCTGTCAGTTATTACTTCAACCAATTAACAGTCAGCATTAATTTTCCCGTTTAACCTTTGAACTATTGAGAGGTAAGGCTTTGATAATTATCTGTGTATTGCATGTCACGATCTCTTAATGCAACATTTTGCAATTTTTTCCAGGTCATGAAATTTACAAATTAAGGTTGCTGTCAAAGAAAAGATTGTTCACAGTATAAAATAACAAGTTTTTATTGCTCTTCACACTTTCTTTTCTCAACATTATCCCAAATAACAATTAAATCATAGTCAACAACTGAACACAACCATTTCCGATAATGCTAACAGCTAAGTAAATGTTAAATATCACAATATCCCAACTATATCAATTTACAAATCTTAAAAAAGAAAAGAGAAATCATGGTTCTAAGTAGGGCATACACGAAAAACAAATTTGGCTATAGATACAAACTGATAATTAACGATACCAACAAATTAATATAGTTTCTACTTGAATGTTAACCTCTGTTGTAAATATACAGTTGAACTTCGGCATATTCTCCAACTCCCAATATCCCTAATACCAAGGATATGTCAAAGTGATTTGAAAATCCCAAAAACTATTTTCTTCTTATAATTTAACCTCAATATCTTGAAGTTAGTTTCTTTCTGTCCCACTGAATTTGAGATAATGAGGTTTGATTGTAATAATAAACAATACTAAAAAAATTCAATTGGAAATAAACTTGTTTGTTGATCTGTCAGATCTACAGAGAAGCCCATGGGCTACTTGTCATGGTTAACCTCTACATGAAGTTGATGATTATCCAAAAGGTTAGGCCAAACAAAAAAATATGTGTGGTTCCGGTTACACTTCCAAAAAAATTAGGGTAGGTAGGTAGGGATTTTTTTTTTTTTTTTTTTTTTTTTTAACAAAATGATTTTCTTAATTTTTTCTAAATAATACCTATCACTGCTTTGCAAATGGCATTTAGATGTGGTGTGATAATATACTAGTCAATATTGGTAGGGGACACCTACATGCTAGCTTGCTTTGGATTTAACACTATTAAACACTTGCATTATGTTTTGCAAGGAGGCCGTCATTGCTGAAACTAAAACTTAAACTGGAGCCATTGATGGAAATCGGGGGAAATTCCGTAAAAAATATGAAAATGGCAAAAAAAGTTTAGGGTCGGGGGTATATAATAGGGAAGGTCGGGTAACCGGAACCACACATATTTTTTTATTTGGCCTTACTCAAAATATTGAGAGGTAGTAACATTGATGCGCAATATAGTAGAAATTCTGCTGCCTTTTACTCTAATAATCAATGGTGGTCTTCTAAGATTATTATAGCTATCTGTTTATAAAGTTTGATAACTGTCAAAAACATAAATCTTTGGATATTGGTCATCTTCATTAGTCAAGGGTTTACGACCCGCTCCTCTCTTTGGAGAGGAGTGGAGCGGATCATAAACCCTTGGCTAGCAAAGATGGATATTGGTTAAACAAACATCTGATGTGCCACAACTATGTGACCTATCACCTTTATTTAGTCTGCTAATTTAAAGGGATCAACTGTTTACCATGACAAAATTTGAGAGCAACAATGAAGAAAGTTTCCAAGATATTTGCTGGAAACTGTTTGTTGTGAATGTAGTGGAAACCCATGCAATATCTCTGTGCTTTTGACCTAAAAATCACCTAGAAAATCAATAGGGGACATCTGCAACTCTCAAGCATTTGGGTCTACTAGTAAAAGTATTTAATTAACAGAATCATTTGATAAAGAGCTAGCATAGTAAAAAAAACTGCTGAAACTTGTCACAAGCCCCATTTCTCTATGTAGCTGCAGGTCTGTAGCTCGCTGGTCTGAAAAAAATGGGGATGGATGACCAGAGAGCTACAGTGCCACCTAACGAAAAATGTATATTTCTTGCGCACAAGAAGTTGCGCTCGATTTTGTATTAATTTCTCCAAACTCTTACCTCAACTGTACAAAAGCTTGATTTCAAAATATTCATTTGACCTCTATTAAATACTCTTATGTATGATGTCTCCAAGAAGCATGTTGGACCGAATTATCTTGCCCCCCAAAATGGCAGAGTAAATAGGCAAAATTTTCCATAGTCTCAATTTTAGGCCCATGAGGGCTATTTACAACGGTGATAAGGAATTCATTTTTGTGGAAATAGTAAAAGAATATGTTAGGAACACACGGTAAGTAATACTTTGAGATGGGAGTTTGAAAAACACGTTGAAATAAATCGAGATACAGCACACCTTTTTGTGCGCAATAAATACCTGGTATACACTTTTTCAATGGGTGGCACTGTAGCTCTCCTGTCTGTCAATAATTTTTTTTTCGGTGAGCTACAGTTCTGCAGCTATTCTCTATGGATGTAGGGGACAATAACAAGATACAAATTATATATTGTTACTGATAATACATTTGATATGTACACATAAATCATCAGAAAAAAGACAAGTAGTACAATTGTATATCAATGTAAAAGTTCAATAAAAACTGGACAAATGCTGCATCTTTCTCTCTTTTTCAATTGTTTTGTTTAGCAAAAGTTACGGTAATTTTAAATCTCTATAGTATAATTAATTATGTCATTACAGGATGTACAATGTCCTGCAAATTTATACAGATAAAAAGTTAGAATCTTCACCAAGGATCATCCTCGACTTTGAAACATATGGAGAAACCATGTCTTTCCACAATAATACAGATTTGTTAAAGATCTCAGAAGATTGCCTGGTAAATCTGGGTTCAGAAAGGCATGGGTATTCTTTGTAAAGATCTTTCATGCTTATTTCTTATATCTTCACTCCCGTTCTGTTGAGATCTCATAGATAAATTCTTCAGGCAACTTTCCATTTATAAGTAACCCCCTGAAAAATGAATTTTAACAACAATCCTTTAGTTTTTGATTAAAAACTATTAAATTTCATAGGGAACATTCATATCTGCTCTCTTATAGATATTCTCTTTATCAAAAACCTACTTTCTTAGCGACAGTTTTGGAAACTAATATCTTAATAATGAGAGGCCCATAGGCCACACTACTCACCTGAGTTACTAATGGCCCTTCTGTTCTTTATCAGCAGATTTTTTTGCCTACATATTCCTATGTAAAATGAAGATCACATGTTGTGGTCCCTAAATACCTTCAGGTGTCATGATTTGATCAAACTTGAATATACACTGCCAGACGATGTTTCCATATATAAATATTACTAAATAATCATGACTTTGCTGTTCTTGCAAAAAAGATTTGCAAAGATTTTTCCTATTATTTCTTGTGTAAAACTTCAATCACCTATTGTGGCCCCATCCTTCCCTTGGGCAGCAAGATAATAACAAATTTAAAGCTACACTATCTGCAGATGCTTCCATATAAATACTACTATAATGGCTTTGCTGTTCTTAAGATGAAGATTTTTTAAAAAAAAATTTTCCCCTTTAAATTCCTATGTAAAACTCTGAACCTTCATTGTCAGATTTGAACAAACTTATATCAGCTACACTGCTTTAAAATGCTTCCATATAAACATGACTTAGCTTAGCTTTGCTGTTCCTGAGAAAAGACTTCAAAAGATTTTTTTCCCCTATGTATTCCCATGTCATACTTTGATTGCCCATAATGGCCCCACCCTACCACCTGGGGTCATGATTTGAACAAACTCGAACTTACACTACCTCAGTCCTGAAAATATGACAATTCATGGCTTTGCAGTTCTCTGAAGAATTTTTTTTCTATGCATTCCCATATAAAACTTTGATCGCTCATAGTGGAAACACTCTATCCCTGGGAGTCATGACTTGCACAAATTTGAATCTATGCTATGTCAGAAATTCTTCACAAAAGTTTCATTTTTTCTAGCCTAGTGGTTAGTGAGAAGAAAATTTTTCAATGACTCCAATGAATTTTCATTTTTTTTAAAATTATCTCCCCTTGGAAGAGGTTGTGGACAATTTTCGATCAGAAATGCTCACTTAAGCCTTCAGCTCAGGTGAGCAAATAATGTACAGTAATGTTAAACCATTTTTCAGTACTTGTTTAATCCATTATTTTGAAACGCAAGGTAAGAAAAGAGTTTTTTTTCCTGCCTACCTGGATTTGCCTCTGTTCCAACTAATTCCACAGCATCAATTTCTACCCATGTTCCAGCAACTGTGCAATCAATCTCTATTCTCAGTGTATTGGTAGGAATATTTGTTTCCTACAAGTATGCAATGAACTTAATTAAATGCATTTCATGTAGAAATAGTTTTAATAAATTATGCTTTACTCTCCCTCTCTCTCTCTCCCTTTCTCTAATATGCATAAAAATCGAGAAATTGCATGCTCATCATAAAGTTCCCTCTTTCATCATTTCCTTGAATGATGTAGGGGAAAAAATAAGCCACACTTACAAGCAGTTCTGGTTTGAATATGCGACTTTCTTTAATGCATTCTATTGTCTTTGCTTCATACAAAGTAACCCATGCTCCACTGTCTGCTTTAGCTTGCACTTTCTTTGTCCCACCAGAATTCAATGTTTCATATATATTGATTTCTTGGGGATACACTTTCTGGTCATAAGCTACCTGGAATTGACAGAAATGAGCTACAGTTGAACTTTGGTATCCCAAATATTGACATGTCAAATATCATATATATATATATATATATATATATATATATATATATATATATATATATATATATAATTATATATATATATTAATTATATATATATATATATATATATATATATATATATATATATATATATATATATATATTAAACAAATATAAAAAGAAAACACAAGAATCCTCCGTAAAGCTTTAGCGCTTTCATTAAAAATCTTCAGAAGCTTTACATTACAAAAATGTATACAACGGTAACATAGTAACAATGATTATGACGTTAAACTAAGCGGAACGTTTAATGTCTATATTGTGACGTCATAGATAAAATACTGCAATGATGATGAAAAAGTTCGGGAAAATCATAGGTAGTTTATAAGAGACTATTAAGTTTTGGCTTTAGAATACAAATAAAATGTTTTTCTTTTTCCCGTCTCTGGATATCACTGGCACATCTGAGTTTATAAAAAGGGAAAATGTTAAATCGTTTTTTTCCACAAGTTTCCAGGTGTGCACTTAACTGGATTTGTCTATATTCAGGTGTACTGATGTGTTGCTTATGTACACGTACACGGGCACGGAGACTGTTGCCAGTTTCACCAATATAATATTCTTTGCATCCAGGACATATGATGGCGTATATGACATCTTTCGTATCACATGACATGTTGGCATTAACTTTAAATTCACGCCCGTTAAAACTATAACTCGTCCCTTCTGTAATGTAGTCACATGTGCCGCAGCGAGGGTCCGTACACTTTGACACTGTATAATTATGGTCAGCGAATTGGGAGGAACAAAGTATTCTCTTAAGGTTTTTAGGCTGACGTTTACTGCTGATAAAACGACAGTTTTTGTATGTAGTTTTCGTTTGTTCATCCTCTCTAAGTAAGCTATTTAATTCATAAACAATTGAATTGATGTTTTTATTTCTCGGATTGTACGTGTGAACAAAGGGTATAGTTTCTCCGTCCTTCGCACGTCGTGTGTTTGAAAGTAATTGTGTTCTATCACACTCCTTGGCTTTCATAATACTATTATCTACCAGTTGCTCTGGGTATTTTTGGCTCAATAAATACAATTTTAATTCCTCCAAACGGATATCCCTCGTATTAATATTGCTCACAATGGTACAGATCCTTCTTGCGAGATTATATGGTATAGCCGTTTTAGTATGGTGGGGATGGCACGATCCGAAATGCAGATATTGGTGTGTATCTGTCGGCTTATAGTATATATCCGTATTTAACCTGGTATTATCTTTTGATATAAGAACATCGAGAAATGGCATTTGCGTATCATCTGTTTCCATCGTGAATTTGATATCCGAGTTCATTTGGTTTATTAGATCGTAAAACTCCGATAATTTGTCGACATCATCATCCCATAAGATAAAACAGTCGTCTAAAAATCTTTTCCATTTAGACTGTATATTATTTGCAGATTCTATTCCCCACAACGAACATAATTGTTCATGTAACTTATGTTCTAAATAACCTAAGGTTAATGTTGCATAGGTAGGTGCGACTTTCGTCCCCATTGCAGTTCCCTTAGTTTGAAGGTAATGATGGTCAGAAAAAGCAAATGAATTGTTTTCTAGAACTAATTTAAGTGCTTCTAAAATAAAATTCTGTTGGAATCTGTCATTTAGTATATCGGGATAACTTTCCATCCAAAATTTTACAGCTTCCAATCCTAATTCTGTAGGAATATTAGTATATAAACTAACGACATCAAAAGTGACAAGTTTTGTGTTACAGGTGATCTGAGTAGGTAAATGATTTATGAAATCCAGATCGTCTCTTACAAAGCTGGGTACTTTTTGACAATATGGTTTTAAAAGTATATCCAATAAGTGACTCAGTCTTTGTGTTGATGAGTTTGGTCCTCCTACAATGGGTCTGAAGCATAAATCACCTGGATCTAGACACGTAATACATACACTATTTTGATTTGCTATGGCGTCCTTAATAATTTTAGACTTGTGAACTTTAGGTAAACCATAGAATTGGCTCTCTCGGAATTCAAAGTTTGTCAGGTAGTCCTGTTCTTTATCTGTTAAACCTTCCGATAGTGGTCCATATACCAGCTTTTTTATTTTAGTAATTGTTTTCTTCTCATGACAATTGTGCAGTCTTTCATAAAAGTTGTTGTCTTGTAACATTTGTAAGATTTTATTTTTGTAAAAATCCTTATTCATTAACACAACTCCACCTCCTTTATCAGCCTCTTTAATAATGATAGTAGGGTCATCGCATAGGCTTTTAAGAGCTTTTTCCTCTTCCTTAGAAAGGTTGGGTTTGATATTTCTGGGTTTGTTTGGAAAATGAATATTTTCTAATGTGTCGCAAACGGCATCCAAAGTTCGATTTCTTCCTCGTTTTGGATTAAACTTAGATTTGTTTCTTACCAGGTCTATTTGTTCTGCTTCTTGAGACTCGGAATCAGATTCATTGGTATCACTTTCATGAAAATATTCATATAGCCTGAGTCGTCGAGTATAGGCTTTAATATCCGTTTTAAGCTCTTGATTATTTACATGAGGTGTAGGGGTGTATTTAAGACCCTTAGACAGTAATTTGATTTCGGAATCCGTCAGATGTCTGTCGGAAAGATTAAATACTTTTGGTTCTATTTTAATTACATTCCTGGGTGCATCCCTGGAATTGTTGTTGTTAACAATTGTGGTAATTGGTTCTTGTATCTTTGGCCTTGGTTCATTTTGCCTCCTCCTAAAAAATAATTGCGTACCCCTCTTCCAATATACGTAGTTCTTTCGTTTCTGTAAAAGTTTGGTGGACGCCTACTTCTAACGTATCCTCGGTAATTTTCATTTTGTCTGTTGTTGCCCTGATTCCGTCTTTTTATGCCTTTGTGGTACTTAGGAATCTGTTGATTTTGTGGAAAAGCACTACGAGAAGATTTACTTCTGGATTCAGAATTCTCGTATTGATTCTTATTTGCGGTTTTTCGTTTTCCCGAAAATGATTTTATTCCTTTAGAAAACGATGGTTCAGGCGCATTTTCCGTAGGGAAATCCCCTGTAACTGTAGGATTATTTGCAGAACTGGTTCTTACGGCGGACGCGTAACTTTTCCTAGAAGTTTGTCTTTTATGCAATGACTGTAGTCTTGGTGTATTTTGTTTAATAACTTCTTTACCATAATTTTTTTCATAATCCAAAAGCCAGGCTTCCGTATATCTCCATCTGTTGTATGAAGTTTGTTCCTCCTTAAGGCAATCAGATCTCCACGTATCTTGTAGTATTTCTAATACTCTGCCATATGCCTTAGTTTTCAGTAAGCGATCCATTTCTAGGTCGATCGACAGAACTCTTTTTTGGTTGTTTTCTGCCCTCATTCTTAGTAACTGAATTTCTCCCATCACACGACTCTTAGCTGTCTCAACTCTAACATTTGTTTGTTCAACCGGTTCTCCCCGTATTGGCTTAATTCTAAATTTCCTCGGGATTACGGGATTTTCCAGACTTACCCATTTTTCGTAATATTCTGCGCGGTTGGCATTACTTATTTGTTTATAGTATGTTTGTTTCCTGGAGTTGAGAGTTTGCGTCCAAGTGACCTTGATCCTTTGTTTAATTCTCATGGCTTCTTTTTGTAAAGCGAGCTCATTAACTTCCCTTTGAATTAATTGCGTAGGAGACTGATATGAGGTCATCTCAACATTTTGTGTTGACGCTGTTTTCAAATTTGTTTCCTCTTCATCCATTAAGTGGTTTAAATCCAAATTTGAAGTAAACTGATTATTAGGTAGCAAATTACTACAAACCTCAATTAAATCTTTCAGTAGTTGATTTGTTACATCTGTTTTCTTTAAAAGTTCCGCTAATAACATGTCTTTGTCAAGTCCTTTTTCTTTCTCCTTATTTGTAGAATTTTGTGTTTCCATCTCGATCACTGGATGGGTATATCCAAAATTGAAATAAAGTCTCAGTAATCGGATTACAATATTAAACAAATATAAAAAGAAAACACAAGAATCCTCCGTAAAGCTTTAGCGCTTTCATTAAAAATCTTCAGAAGCTTTACATTACAAAAATGTATACAACGGTAACATAGTAACAATGATTATGACGTTAAACTAAGCGGAACGTTTAATGTCTATATTGTGACGTCATAGATAAAATACTGCAATGATGATGAAAAAGTTCGGGAAAATCATAGGTAGTTTATAAGAGACTATTAAGTTTTGGCTTTAGAATACAAATAAAATGTTTTTCTTTTTTTTTTTTTTTTTTTTTTTTTTTTTTTTTTTTTTTTTTTTTTTTCCCGTCTCTGGATATCACTGGCACATCTGAGTTTATAAAAAGGGAAAATGTTAAATCGTTTTTTTCCACAAGTTTCCAGGTGTGCACTTAACTGGATTTGTCTATATTCAGGTGTACTGATGTGTTGCTTATGTACACGTACACGGGCACGGAGACTGTTGCCAGTTTCACCAATATAATATTCTTTGCATCCAGGACATATGATGGCGTATATGACATCTTTCGTATCACATGACATGTTGGCATTAACTTTAAATTCACGCCCGTTAAAACTATAACTCGTCCCTTCTGTAATGTAGTCACATGTGCCGCAGCGAGGGTCCGTACACTTTGACACTGTATAATTATGGTCAGCGAATTGGGAGGAACAAAGTATTCTGTTTTATCTAAATATGTATGAGTATGACTGTTTTATCTTATGGGATGATGATGTCGACAAATTATCGGAGTTTTACGATCTAATAAACCAAATGAACTCGGATATCAAATTCACGATGGAAACAGATGATACGCAAATGCCATTTCTCGATGTTCTTATATCAAAAGATAATACCAGGTTAAATACGGATATATACTATAAGCCGACAGATACACACCAATATCTGCATTTCGGATCGTGCCATCCCCACCATACTAAAACGGCTATACCATATAATCTCGCAAGAAGGATCTGTACCATTGTGAGCAATATTAATACGAGGGATATCCGTTTGGAGGAATTAAAATTGTATTTATTGAGCCAAAAATACCCAGAGCAACTGGTAGATAATAGTATTATGAAAGCCAAGGAGTGTGATAGAACACAATTACTTTCAAACACACGACGTGCGAAGGACGGAGAAACTATACCCTTTGTTCACACGTACAATCCGAGAAATAAAAACATCAATTCAATTGTTTATGAATTAAATAGCTTACTTAGAGAGGATGAACAAACGAAAACTACATACAAAAACTGTCGTTTTATCAGCAGTAAACGTCAGCCTAAAAACCTTAAGAGAATACTTTGTTCCTCCCAATTCGCTGACCATAATTATACAGTGTCAAAGTGTACGGACCCTCGCTGCGGCACATGTGACTACATTACAGAAGGGACGAGTTATAGTTTTAACGGGCGTGAATTTAAAGTTAATGCCAACATGTCATGTGATACGAAAGATGTCATATACGCCATCATATGTCCTGGATGCAAAGAATATTATATTGGTGAAACTGGCAACAGTCTCCGTGCCCGTGTACGTGTACATAAGCAACACATCAGTACACCTGAATATAGACAAATCCAGTTAAGTGCACACCTGGAAACTTGTGGAAAAAAACGATTTAACATTTTCCCTTTTTATAAACTCAGATGTGCCAGTGATATCCAGAGACGGGAAAAAGAAAAACATTTTATTTGTATTCTAAAGCCAAAACTTAATAGTCTCTTATAAACTACCTATGATTTTCCCGAACTTTTTCATCATCATTGCAGTATTTTATCTATGACGTCACAATATAGACATTAAACGTTCCGCTTAGTTTAACGTCATAATCATTGTTACTATGTTACCGTTGTATACATTTTTGTAATGTAAAGCTTCTGAAGATTTTTAATGAAAGCGCTAAAGCTTTACGGAGGATTCTTGTGTTTTCTTTTTATATTTGTTTAATATTGTAATCCGATTACTGAGACTTTATTTCAATTTTGGATATATATATATATATATATATATATATGTCAGAGTTGCAAGTCCCAACCACTTTTTATTCAATGTATTGTAACCATATTCTCTTGAATCCTCTGATATCTCAGACTTTTTTTTCTATTTCCATCAAATTCCAGAAATTTAAAGTAGGTTTGGCTGTATATCTACCTGCTCATAGGCAGATTCAAATCTTTTTACAGTCTTTAAGGTGCTATTTCTTGCTTCGAGAAAAGGAATTTATATAAAGTGATAATGTCATTAAGTCATGATTGTGTCAAATAATCCATTGTCTAACTTTGTGACAACTGTCAAAATATTTAAATATTTATTAAACAATCCAGAGTTATGGTCCAGAGGCAAGTGGGACCCCCCCTCACCCCCCCCCCCACCCCCTTAATAAATAAGGATATAAGTAGTCATTTAAAATTGGTTTATGTTACATACTTTTGTTCTGAAATACAGTGAGATTCATTTTTGTGTTCATGCAAAGAAAAAGAGAAACAAGAATATGCACCATGAGAAACAGGAATGTGAAACTGAGTGGAATTTTGACAGAATTGCACCATGAAACTGTGTATCAGAGACAGTATTGAAGATGGTATATACCTCTATGAATTCTTTGTTAGTTTTAGTCTGAGTAGCCCATGCCCCTCGGATATCTCCATGTCTTGGGTACACTTTAGGAGCACCTATTACCTGGTTAGCTGACCATCTAAAGAAATACTTACAATAAGCATTTATCTCGGTACAATGCATTAGCATATTTTTTCCAAAATATTTATACATAAATACAGTTAATTTGTAGCCTAAAAATCTCAGAGTCAAAGAAACTCAGTGAAAAATTGATATTTGAGAGTTTGAAACATCAAAGCGAAGAATCATATTCTTAGTACCGGTACATCATATATATTTTTTCAATTTGATGTATTCATGGTACACAATTAGATATTTTGATGTTTGAGACACAGAGGTTCAACTGTATGAAAGTTGACTGCAAGAAATTTCATTTCACAAACATAAAGATTGAACACAACTACATATTTATAATCCGTTCATTAACTAAAATATATGAACAAATTCATTACAAATTGTATGCTGTAAGCATGAGAGAGACAGAGAGTCTTACCCCGCACTGTCATATTGTGAGGAATAGTTTAGGACCCTTGATATCCACTGCCGAATCACGGTCATTATGTCTCGCAACAAACCGATTCCAGATCACCTGTAGTCTCTGAACATAGGGCTGCAAACATAAACCTTATTTGTTAAAATATCACTATGGTTACTGAAATATACATTGAACATTTTCCGATAGGCCTATGTAAGTTTTCCTTTCCATTCTTCCTTTCATTCTAGTTTTAAAACACATTGATTTTATGGGAATATACATGCATTGATTTGTTTTGATCTATTACTAAGAGCCCAAAGAGTCACGACTCGTATAGATCTAACGTTATACAACTGTACAACAAGCTTGCACACGTACAATAGAGCTTCATACTCTTCATTAATATTCAAGACATACATAATAATGTGATGGTATACATGTATGCCCCATGTATACTAAAGAATCACAAACCTGAGGTCAACTTGCCTGTGGTCAACTTATTCCGGGGATCAAGTCGTGCTAACCATGAATGATCAATATAATAGGTACCCGAGTGTGGGTACGGTGATCCAGTACGGACAAAAACTCATTGTGTGGTTATTGGCTTAAATTACTTATTTTTTTTATATTGGACTATTCAACAGCAATCAAAAGTGCGGACACTTTGAACATTATTGAACAAAAACCAAGATCCAAGCTACTATGACCAGAAAAACATCTTGATTTCGGAAGATAAAACTTGCTCTCTTATAGACACTATCTATATAGGAGAGCAAGTTTTATCTTCCTTTCTGAAAAAGGACAAAGTGCGTTTGATGCCAAATTCGGCCCGTGTCCAAATCAAATAATATTCCTCAAAATTCTTTCAGAGGGTGTTTTTTTTCCCATGAAATTATCAATATATGCTTGTACAAACCTTAATTTTTGTTTTATCTCAATGTAAAAGTAGCATAGTTTACGATAACGTTAAGCTATTTTGACGTTGCTTTATGCGACGTCATGGAGAAGAAAAGAACGTCATGTTTTAAAATAGATCCTGCAAACATGTATATTTCATTATGTCCGTTTATCAAATCTCATTTTCATAAACGTTCATTGCGACGTATATTGGTATATTATACATGTGATAGCATACCATGCGTACTAAATTATTTTTCATAATTAAAGAGAAATCTTGAAATTTGGTATGTTTTGCCAGGCCCGTAGCAACGGTTTAAAAAGTGAGGGGGGTTGTGTGTCCAACTTCCCTAAAAAATCTGACAAGCAAAAAAAAAAAAAAAAAAAAAAAAAAAAAAAAAGAAAGAAAGAAAGAAAGAAAAGAAAAAACCTACACTGACCAAAAGGGGGAGGGGGCAACTTCCCAAAATTATCTGAAAAGCCAAAAAAAAGTTCTTTTGGGACCGTGACTTGATTTACATAAGTTTACCAGTCTGTACCTACTATAATATTTTATTTGTGTTGTCCAGATGCAGAGTCTATCCTTAAAAAAGAATGCATGCGAACCTCCGTTTATTCTTTTGTTTCAGCGGTTTCAGAAATATTCCAATTAATTAACCCTAAAAGGAAAAAAAGATGTCCCGATTTTAAAACTTCAATTAAGAACAATTTTCATAACATTCAGAAGGATTGATTGATTGTATGTTGTTTTACGTCCCATTCGAGAATTTTTCACTCATATAGAGACGTCACCTTATACCGGTGAAGGGCTTCAAATTTTGACCTTTACTCGGCACTCAGGGCCATTGAGCAGTGAGGGATCTTTATCGTGCCAACGCCTGCCGTGACACGGGGCCTCGGTTTTTAAGGTCTCATCCGAAGGACCCGCAACTTTCACTTCAAAGTGCCGAGCGCATAGCGAAGGAACAGTTGCTACCCATTTTTTATCGACTTAGGTCAGTCGCGGCCGAGATTCGAACTCACGACCCCCCGATCACGGAGCGAGCGCTCTACCGACTGAGCTACCGTGAACGGTCATTCAGAAGGATGCGAAGAGTTTATTTATGTGACAAAAAGTTAATGATAATTGTGTTAATCAGCTGCGCCGAAGCGATTTATGTGAAACACTTCAAAAAAGTAGAAATGACCGTCACGTGATCAACGAGGTCATGTGATATCGTAACAAATACGTTTATATATAGCCTAGAGAACTCTCTATATAAATTGACCGTACTTAAGTAATAACTTACAAATGAAAATCAAAATCGACCTTGCAATGCAGTGTTATGTTTTAAACGCATTTAAAGCTTCGGGAAGCCTTAACATTACTGCGAAAATTCAGTTCTTTTTTGTTGTTTTTTGCTTGTCAGATTTATTTTGGGTAGGATCCCCCACTTTTGAAGCCGTTGCTACGGGCCTGTTACGAACCTGCGAATTTTTTTTGAAAAATAGAAGTGTTATTGTACATGTAATATTTACTACGATATTGAACGATACTCTAGTTCACAATTAGTTGGTGCTAGGGCTTTCATATTTCACGTGTTCATTCCTTGTGACATGACCTTTCTTGGGTACCAACATATTAGACCTCTTGACCTTGAACTTGGAGTTTAACCTACTTTTATTTAAAAAAAAAATCAGCAATTAACCTTGCTCATAACTTTTGAACGGTTGGAGCTAGGACTTTTATATTTCATATGTGTATTTCATGTGTCCAAATCTTTTTGAGTACCAGTATTTTTACCTTCTAAGTTTGACCTTTGAGTTTGACCTTCTTTTGAAGCCAGAAGTGGGTGCTAGGACTTTCATATATCACATGTATATTCCTTGTGACTAGACCTTACTTTGGGTACCACATTTTTAACTTCATGACGTTGACCTTGGAGTTTGACGTACATTTGAAGAAAACTGTGGTGTCGCATTGGAATTTTATGGCTACACTCGATGTCCGGACGGTAATCGGTGCCGTAGATCATCGGCGGGGGTATGCCTGTTGCTGTGAGAGATGTTAAGGACTACTTGGCTGATGAGAACCGATGTTGGGGCATCGCTCAAACCACCAATTACTACCGATTACCACCGTTCTACGGCTACCGGCCGGAAAAACTTTTATAAAGACCGCATCGCCCGCGTGGCGCAGTGGTTAGAGCAAACGCTCTAGAGTCGCGGAGTAAGGGGTTGATCCTTACGTCGCGGCTTCGAATCCCACTGTGGGACTTGGAGATCGGTCCTTCGGATGAGACCGTATAAACCGAGGTCCCGTGTCGCAGTAGATGCTGGCACGAAAAAGATCTCTCACTGCTCAATGGCTCTGAGTGCCGAGATAGGTCAAAATTTGTAGCTCTCCACCGGCAAGTAGTGGCGTCTCCATATGAGTGAAAAATTCTCGAGAGGGACGTTAAACAATAAACAAACAAACAAATGATAAAGACCGCAATACGTTTACAAGAGAAAGAAGGTAGATCATACCCTACTGACAATGAACCGTAGGTTGTCGGCCAATTTTACAGTTATTTCTTTGACGCGATCAATCCGACCTCATGTACTTCTCATAATATTGTAATAAAGTTTAGGAGGCATTGATTGGTTTTTATTGAAAGTATTGTTTGAATAATCTGACACTTTTTTGGGTAATATATTTCATTGATTTTGTCGAAAGAATGAAGTTCAAACGGCAATTTTAAGATTAAATTAATGAAAATATTTTTGTAGAGTGACAACAGACAACATAATATATAAGGATTGTGAAATAGACATTTTATCTGATCAATAGGGGATTCGGTCCATTTTCTAAATTTTTGACATTATAGCGGATGATGTTTAAGACATTTAGGTGTGTTTTGGATGAAAAGAAAAAAAATGTTTTATTGAAATATTTATTTCGAACAATGAGGTGTTGAAATCAATCCATTCCCCCGACTTTACCAAGCTTATTTGTTCCGACTTAATTGATAACGAGTATAGAATTATGGCACATATATTCATGAAGTACTGCTATTACTTTTAAAAAAGTATAATAAATGCTACAACACACACACACACACACACACACTCAGAGGGAGTGAAAGAGATGTCTTTAGAATAGGTTACATACAAGCTAATTCAGAGAATTTGTGTCTCCCGCTTAGGGAAAAAAGAAAAGCATGCGCAGTTGATCCCGGGCCTCTCGCTTGCTAAGCGAGCAACATACCCCTACATCACGGAGGCACTTAAATTTGATAATGTTTTCTCGGACGTCCGTGTCGAATTGTACCCGCCCATTCCATTGTCTATCATTAAATGTTTGATTGTAACAGATGGAAATGACATAAGCTGCATATTTCCAATTTTGCCAGTTAATGTTCCGCAGTCTTATATAATGTACATCATTAAAAATATCAAGCTCAAGATCTTTCTATTTTATTTGATACGTAGTCCCATAGAACGAAAAATTTAATTTTCTTAAAACTTTCTATTTTTTTCTTATTACACTTAAAAATGCTGCAATATTTAAAGGAAGAAGAAAACTGTTCCCTCCAGCAATTTGATGTTAACAAAGAAAGGTCGTTCGGTGAACCGAACCTCCTATTCTCCACCTGTCTTACACAATTATCTATTCGGAACACAGATGTCAAATTCCTTGTAATTAAAAAAAAAGTTATGGATGACCTAGATAAACTTAAGAAATAAAATAAAATAGTAGACTAGTTTTGTTACAACAAATGCTTTGATCATTTATTCAATTTTTATGATTATTATTACTGAAATTTTGTGGATCTTTATCAGCTGTTAAAAAAAGAGAAGATTTTTATTTTATTCAGCAATAAAACGTCTGTATCACGATGTTTTGAGTTATACTTGCATGAAATGATTGGAAATGGAAGCTAAGTGTTTCAGTATTCCAAAGAGAGAGAGAATAAAACTTCAAAAATTTAAATATAGTCTAATTTTGTGAAGTATGAAAAAAAGATATATATATATATATATATATATATATATATATATATATATATATATATATATATATATATATATAGTAATCTGTACAATATAAATATTAAAAATGTTAATATTTCTGTAATTAGAGTTGGTAAGCTTGAGTCCAAAAATTTAGGTTACCTACACCGAAATAGCAATTTTACTGAACTTGTTTATATTTCAGTTCGCATTTACTTGTATTAGCAAGGATACACAGCCAAAATTATTTTCGAAAGTACAAGTTAGGGATCATATTTCGTAAAGAGTAAAAATAAACTATTTAAGTATGACAGGATTTGTAGAGTAAATGACCCAATTGAAATTATCTTTTCATTGAATTTATACTTTATTGATACAAAAAGTGAACTACTTTAACGCATTTCAGTTTGTTGCCTCATAAAAGGAACATGTTTCTTGTACTGGATTGATACAAAAAGTGAACTGTTTCCATTTTAATGCAGTCGTTTTAACCATTGACCGAATTCCTAACGACCTTTTAGATAAAGATTGTCATGGAATGGATTTTTTTCTTTCGTTAAAATATCGGTGATATTAGGCTAATATTGTACTATAAGGAAATTATTTAGGTTTAAATTTCTAAAATCAAATTGACGATCTCATCTCTCCGCAAATCTAGTTATTGATTCTTTGCATATCGT